GAATTTTTTAAAAGTTTAAGCTTCATTCTTATTTTTTTGCGTATTGATTAAATATAATTAACGAAAATGGGTTGTAAGGGTCAAAAGGGGAGTTAAAATGTTATATGCATGTATTGTCATTATTTAAAGCTAGAAACTTGAAACCCATTTTTTAGGCTGTTGAGAAAATATCAGTACCTACCGCCACAGGACTCAGCCATAAATGGTTACAGTATAGCGACATCTTATCATTGGTACATGATGACACTAATATAAGTAGCATTAAAAAAAAACAAGAATGGTATGTATGGAAGTATCTTCATTTTAAAGATAGTAGTTTAAAACTAATTTTTTGGCTGTTGATTGAATTGTATGGAAATTTTCATTTTTGAAGCAAGAACGACGAAACTTTTTATTGGGTTAGATTATTAATATATATTTTTTATTATTTGCTCAAGGTCACTATTTTACGCGGACGAAGTCGCGGGTACAGCTAGTATCTAATATAAATTTATAATTAAAAGCTACAAATAAATCCGAATATGTGATAGTAAGTCCTAATTAAGAAATTTTATCATCGTTCTCTTTAGTTACATATTGCTTAGATCTTTTAAACTATACAATGAATTTAAAAGCAGTTTTTAGCAATAGATAAAGTGATTCAAAAGGAAGGTTTATATGTTTATATGTACTCCCGTGCGAAGCTGGGGCAGGTAGCTAGCGTAGTATAAAACAGAGCCACCGCTATCTCTATGCCTAGATCTTATTTATTATGATCTAATATATTATGTATAATACATGCATATTATACTAACAAAAGCCGAAGTATTCAAAGATTTATGCTCGCTAGTAAAAAACAATTTGATCATTAAATAATGGTCTCTAGACGGTTCAATATTTCATAAAAAAATCACTAAACGAAATATATATTTTTTTATTTTGTGAGAATGTATTGATTGATATTTTAGCAAATAATAATATGTTTAAAGTGTGTGAGTGAGGAGACGTGGCAGTAGTAATAGTTAGAACCGAAACATGGTACTTACAATACAAGGTATTAGGAAACATTATTTAATTCTTATAATTTAAGAAAAGAATCAGCAAAAAAGGTTTTTAAAAGAAAAATCATTACTTAATTGGTTAATGTCTGCTAAAGTTTATTTAACAGGGAAAGAATCTGCTGGAAAATGACTACAACCTCAAAAATCTCTCATTCCAAAAAGCAAAAGTAATTTATTGATAATGTAATTTATTGATACGTTTTCTTAAAATATATAAATTGAATTAGAATATCTCTACATTTAAAAACTTTATGCAGACATAAGTCACGTAGTAAAGAATAAGCCTTATATGATGTCAAATTATTAAAAAAATCTCAATCGTGCATAGAGATCAGACAGAAATGTATAGATCATGTAAAGTTTAAAAAAAAATCTAATTTTGGGAATCTACATTAATGCTTGACACGAATTATGAATCCACTGTCTGGATGTAACCAGATGTGTAACAATAACAGCCATTGCTTGGTTTTCTGTCTACCCCGTAAAAGACCTGGCCTGAAGATTGATTTATAATATTAATTGAGTGTATATGTAAATAGTCCTCTACTGGATGTATAAAACAATTTATAGTACCTAATCGCTTGCTTTAATAAAGAGTCTAGAGTTACTAAACAAAGAAAGAAACAAGCTTACTTTTACTTTTGTAATATTAATCAGAATGAAGGCTCAGAGCAAGTGTGATGTTATTATTGCTACATTTTCTGGCTCACCTGCACTGCGCGCCGTTATATTTCGTCGCCCTAATTTCGAGTCCTCGAGCTAACAATAGATTTACTACCTTGTGTCTTTTCAAATAGTGTAAATTTTATTGTAATTGACAGGAATAAGACGCTTCTCTGATATAAAATGATAATCGAACATAATTTAAATGCAACAAATACCATTCTATATTTAACAACGCAATTGTTCGTAATATTTGAGGTACATAACGCTGCGAATGAGGAAAGTGTCGCGCTATAATATCGACAAAAATGTAAACACTTATTTACCTTGTCATATTAACAGTCTATTACGGTAATTTAAAAATGTTCAGATAGGTCAATAATGTAACTTTGATAAAGGACTAAGTATTGTTTAGTGTTTACATGTTTACACGGCTATTATTTGCCGACGCGTCAGAACCACGACTTGTTTTTTAAAACTTTTTAAGAAACTAATTACAATATTTATTCATCTATTTACTACAAATTAAATAGATCCAATTATACGAGTAGGTAATTCGTGCTTACTAATTGTATTTCTTATGGTTCTAAGTATATACAACACCAGAAAGTATAAGTTTCAAAATTATAAATGTTAGAGCTTTCCTTAAATATAATTACATTTCAAAGTTTAACTTCTTATTCATTTATTCATATATACTATATCTATACTAGCTAAACACAGAAAGGGCAGATTTTGTCATTTTTGTAAATTCCGCAACTACTGTATGATTCGAGAAATTCTTTCACTATATGAGATGTACTTTATTTCATAGTAATATACACATATATATAAATTATGTTAATATGTACTAAAAACAACGAAGTTATTTGTAACGACCGTGGTATAAAGAAATGATCAGGTGGATCCGACGTGGCCTACCAGCTTCTCAATACAAACACTATTCAAAATGACAATAAATTGCATAAGAAAAATTCTAACCTAAATACTTATGATTTTAAATATTATTTTGTTAGTGGCGTTTGCACAACAAAAGTTATATTTACTATTGTATTATTAGTTATCAATATGTAAGGTTTTTTTCTTATTCAATTTTTACATTCGACGTCAATGAAATAGTTGATGTTGTAAGTAGTAGTTTGTTATCGAAGTGGTTTTGCCATTTAGCAGTAGAAAATAATTAATCTGGTGTATGGTATCTATAGTATGGTAGGGCAATTTATATGTAATATCTACTTATATAAATATGTCACGACACGAACTCTTACTACGTTAATTTATATATTAAACTATTTATATATTTTCTCAATTAAGAAACTTTATTTCAATTATATTATTACAATTATTAGGACTATTTTGGACTATACATATGAACAATGTATATTACTCTTTTTATTTGTTTGATAGCTAAAAACGATAGCCAGAGGAATTAAACTTCTTGTGTATCGAGCAGTTAAGTCTGTACCAATGACCAAAATTCAGACATTCAAAACATAACCCCGATCAATTCTACGTCGATTCAATAGAAATAATTGGTTTAGTATAAAGAAAATAAAGTATCCATTGTGGATACATTAATCTACATAAATTTCGAAGTAAGGCAATTTAACACAAGCGTAGGAATGGGAAGACGCAGTACAACTTAAAATTAACATTGGCGTATCGCCACACACTATAATTATCGTGAGAGTGCCAAATTTCTATTACGAATACATACCATCTCAGGCAGGCATGTTTTATGGCTCTCTTATTTTGTTCTATGACTAATTAATTTATGTGCGCTTATTTGCTATGTAAAAGCGGACCATATTCATTTGCATTAACGTACATTTTCATACATCTGATCGATTAGGCAGGCACTGTCACGGTTGTTCAATAATATATACAATGTGATAATAGCAAATTTTCGAAAGTTTCATTCTGATGACATTATACACGATTTACTGTAGTAAATCGTTATTTCAGTCTATCCACCGCTGGATATAGGCCTGTAACTGTCGCACATGGTGGAAGTCTTTAAGACTTCCACCATGTGCGATCTTGTGAAACTTGTAAATACAATGTTAAATTACAAGATCCTGAAGTCATTCTATAAACTTTCCTAAATGTAGATTTTCAATATACTGTAATTTACTACCCGTGTAGTGTCAAATTGTGTGTTCAAATATGGACTACGGTGATCCGGTGATGAAAACAAAAATAATCCGGTAGGCTCGGGTCCCTGTAGATAGATTATAATAAAAAAATATCTAACGGAATGTGGGCATGTCAAGTGTTGCGTACACTGCAACGTCGACATTTGCCACTGCCTTTGACTGCCCTATGTGGGATGATAGTTATGATATGTTTGTTTTGGATGCTAAAAATGTAAGGACTGGTGACGTGTAGGAGTGATGCCTGCCAGGTGGTAGTAATGGTGCGTAGCACAATATGATTCATCACTAAAATAATTTATAGTCTTACAGAATGACCGGTTTCACGAGCTCTTGGACTATTACAGATGATTACGAACTTGAATTATCCAGACAGAATGATTTTATTATTATTTATCCTGGACAGAATGATTGACAATCATACATAAATACCATAACGACTGTTATTCGAGAAGTATCGTTTTTTTCGGACTACTCTAATGTTGTTGGCCGCAGCCGGCCTTTACACCTTCACTGGACGACACTGCACATGGCACTGCAAACCTGCAGAAGGACTTATGGAGCGGCTGAAGGCCAATTCCCACCTGATGGATACGATTTTAGTCTGAGGATACCGCTAGGGGTTCGTACCTCGGCTCAGGCCGTCGTAATTTCGATTCTCGTTTGAATTGGATATGGGATCGATAGGAGCAGGTATTGAACAATATCTGATATATTTCCATTTTCTACTATCAGTCAGATTGGAACAACGCCGTCTACTTTCTTTTTTAAACAACGCTACAAATTGTGATACTGTTTATAATGTTATTTCGGAAACTTTTTTAGGAAAGTTTTATGCATATAGTTTTGGCAACAACTTTACGCATAAAAATATAGATATTTTCAGTCGTGTGAAGTTACGGTGATACATTAGTTAAGTAATATGTGACAGTTTTTCTTATACAAGTGAATTACCAAACCTCGGAAACGAGCTAATAAAACCAGTTGCAATCAGTCTCGTACGGACCCGTTAATCAGTTATCTGCTTATATTAGCCTCTCAAAATAACTTTACCCTAACCGTCCGACCTTGTGTACTGTTTAAATCATCGCGAGATTCCTGAAATTATCTGTTTACGTAACCAAGGTGTGATCTCATTTTGCAGAGCTCGCCCGTGGCAGAGATTGGTTACTTCTGCACTATATGGACTTCTAATTGCAATTGGGACAAGAACATTGCGATATGGCTGAGAACGGGTAAGATTTACATTATAATATATTATATCTTATATGTTCCTTACTAAAACTTATACTGCCTACCCAAACTTCGACTTCAGTGATGGAAATGGTATTGAATTTTCCCTTTACAGTACGACTATGTAATGAAATAAAACAACATAAGAAACGTTTTCTATTCATTTCTTTTTATCTTAAGAACCTCTTAACGCAATGTTTTCAGTTTTCCTTAAGATTTTTCATACATTTTCTATCATGAAAACTTTTCGCGATAATTACAACATCGCATAAATAGAAAAAGATGTTAAATATTTACGTACCAAAGTGAGACGTTTACATGCATTCGGTAATTTTTATTTATTTACTAGCTGTTCCCGCGACTTAGTCCGCGTGGAATTTTATTTTATTTTTTTTAAATAAAAGTAGCCTAAGTCACTCCTTATTAGATCAGCTACCTATGAAAAAAAGTCCCGTCAAAATCGGTCCAGCCATTTCAGAAATTAGCCGGAACAAACAGACCGACAGATATACAAACAAAAATTGCGTAAAATGTTATTTTGGTGTATGTACCGTATGTTAATTCATATGCATGTAGTAAAAAATGGATATTTCAATATTACAAAAAGACACTCCAATTTTATTTATATGTATAAATAAAGACAGTTGAGAGAGTTTATCTGTTATCATTTACCACAAGTGCTGTACTAATCATAATGAGATTTGACTATCAATAGCATATGTATATAATATTTAATACTATTGACAACAAGCGAATAAACAACGACTTTTTTCAATTCATATAATCATGATATATGGATTGAAAAAAGTCATTACATAGTATAAAACAAACTCGCTGTCGGGGTCTGTCCATCTCAATGTATGCTTAAATATTTAAAACTACGCAACGGATTTTGATGCGATTTTTTTTATAGATAGAGTGATTCAAGGGGAAGGTTTATATATATAATACATGTACATCCGGGCAAAGCCGGGGCGAATAGCTAGTGTATTATATAGTATATATTGATTCATTGTATTTTTTTTAATCACGATCAATTTGCTTTTGGTTTATCAATATTTAATGACTGTCTAAACTAAATCTAATTAAGAATTTCTTTATTAATCTTCCCATTATACTAAAAATATTGCACAAACCGTTCTGCAAACATCGAAGTGGACTAGGTCACCCCGAGCGTTCCATTTCGAGGAGATGGTGCGGTTGTGTTGTCACGTTGAAGTTAAATATAACAAGTCCGTTGGCCACGTTCCAGGTACGGCGCCGGCCCTGTCGCCGGACACATCGGTAGGATACCAAACTATGGAAAAACTCAGGTCAACGTAAGTATACTGTCTATAATTAATCTTAATAGAATATAATAGAATAGAAAATGGATAATTTAATGGATTCAATGCAAGCGAAGCCGCGGGCAAAACTAGTAATATTATAAACGTGAAAGTTTGTGAGTTCCATACTCATAAACTTTCGTTTATGTTTAAATGTTTATAATATAATTAGGTTGTTTGTTACTCTTTCACGCAAAAACTACTGAACGAATTTTGATGAAACTTTACAGTAATATAGCTTATGCATCAGAATAACACATATATTTTTTATTGAAATTTACCGCGGGAACTGCTAGTTAGAAATAATTCACACGGTGCCATCTAGTCCTAAGTTAAGCAGATTGTGCAATCACGTGGCACGTGGGGTACTTTTTTGGTTTGATAGTAGTATAGCGTACCATTAAAAACTTGAATAATTGTGAGATTATTTATATGGTATATATAGTATATACCATACTATAGTATACGTTTTATATTATTCTTATAATAATAGACAATCCAGTTATAATTTTTTATTATATCAATTTCAGTCTATGGGATCTGAACCGCCAGCATGCATCCAGAATGCTATGATGACAAAAGACAAGAAACCTTTCACGTATACTCCAGGTGGTCTTGATCTATCCCAAATTCGTACGCCGAGTATGGCCAGGAGGATGGCACGACAACGTTCGCTTGAAGAACAGGAACAAGCATATGGGCAGCCTAACGGTGCCCCTAAATATCACCCTCAAGGGGGACCTGTACCTCCACCACCGCCACCGCAAATGCCACCACCACCGCCTCCTCCACCAATAGTTATCCAGGTCCCCGACTCAAAATCACCAAAACCTATTGTACCTGGTGAAAGACCAGAAATAGTCATTCCGGAAAATCCTATTGGAATGTTAAGAAAAACAAATAGTCCGTATCACTGGGAGGCTGAAAAAGCAGAAAAAGAGCGTATGGGCACAGTACCTAAGTTTGCAGAGAAGGTTCCAAGTCCATTAACCGTTAAAATGCCGCCAGCTACATTCCCACCACAACAATCCCAGAATTATTCACCACAACAAAATCAACGCCAAACATACCCATACCAAAATAATCAATCACCAGAAAGTCCATTGTATAGACCTGCACCACAGTACATGCACCAGAAATCTTCTTCTCCGATTGTTAATGGTTCAACACCAACTAGAGAAATTTTACAGAGGCAAGATTCGCAATTTAATAAGAGCCCTCAGCCCTTTGCAGGACAGTCTCCAGTCAGTAATGGTTCTCCATATTCACCTTCCCCTAATAATAATTGGAAACAACCAGATCGAAGAGACTCTCCGGCTAATAATGTAAATTATAGCCCCCAATCCCCTTTGAATCGTGGTCCATTTTCTCCAAATACACAACAATTTTCACCCAATAACCAGAATCAATCATCGTTTGATAATCCTACTCCTGTTTTTCATACACTTCCCAGAACTAACCAAAGAGGTCCAGATAATTACGGGAATAACTTGCAAAATAATAATGTCATATACAATAATACTAGAGAAGATAGTCCTAAAATCGATGCTTCAAATCCTACGCCATGGCGAACAAGTACATTAAACAGAAATCCGAGAGAAGCCGATGATTTACAAGCCATCTATCATAATAGTAAAAACGTTAATCAACAGCCGACATATAATCCACCGTGGAAATCAAACGATTCTACATTACCTAATAATAATAACACTTACATTCCTACTTGGAAGCAAGATAATAAAACATCTGGTAATCAGGTTGACAATCAACAATATAATCCTCCCTGGGTACAAGATTCTAACAACAATAAAGTACCGCAAGAAAACTACAGTCCATGGAGGTCACAGGAAAATGACAATAAATCAGGTCCCGCATTTGTACCTAAACAAAATGAACCAGAACAACGGTATCAATCAACAATGTCTATTCCCGTGACTCCAAGGAAACCTAATTCTCAACCTGAATACAACAATACTCCACAGAGAGAAGCAGTGTATGTGAATCAGGAACCAGTATATTACTGTCCTGAAAGTCCAAAATCAATACCTCCTTGGGTCAAAACGCAAAAAGAGAAAACAAAGACACCCCCGCCGGCTTGGTGTCAAAGACCTTTAGACGGAAGGAGAAGTTCTCCAAGAGAATTAGTTACTCCTCCTAGGGAAACTACTAATCTAGAGCCAGAATGGGTGAAAAAAAGCAATGAGATGCAGAGAGGTGCACGGGAGGTGGTAACTCCACCTAAATACCATCAGCCAGCACAACCGTCATGGTCAACGCTACCATCAGAAAACCGTAAAAGTATTCCTCGGGACAATGCTCCTAGTGTTCAAGGAAGAATTATTCCAATACAAATGGAGGCATCAGGTATTGATTCCGGAGATCATACAAGACAAGGAAAGCAGCAGCCTCAATTAAGAATTGTTATTGACATGCAACAAAATCCAAATGTTCAGGGTTACGCAAACAATGGGGCGCCATATTCGCAGCCTACACAACGGATTATGAGAGTCTTGTCACCTCAGTTGGTAAGATTAGACGACGGACAGAATGAGCTTCCGACTTTAAATAGAACTTACCAGAGTAACCAGGACAATCAACCAAAGACACGGATAATTCCGATACAGATTGAAGACGGCAGTATTGGCGGGGCAAACAAAAGGTAATCTAGTATTTTATTTATAATAGTTTATTAAGTTTACTTACAATTTTTTATCTTTACAATTTTTTATCTTAATATGTTGAAGGTGCAAAGTTTCAATAATGCGGTAATTATTACATCCATATCGATTACACTTTATTAGTTGAATTTATTAATATTTTTTTCATTACATATACAAGATTAGTTGTATAGTTATAAAAGTTTTTCCATGCGGAAATTCTGGCGCATTTCTAACGAAACTGAAACATTATGACAAAAACAATGTGGAAAATTGAAAATAATTTATAAAATTGTTGCGTGGTCACGTAATAAATTTATTTTTTTATTAAAACTTCAATATGTATATACACAATTAAAGGTGTTCATGTTGGACTTGACCTTAGTATGGACGAGATAGAGCACTCTATCATCAGTATTGTAAGGATAATTTTCCCAAAGCAAGTCTTATTATGATAATCACTAATCATGAATGTTTTAGACAGCTCTTATACACATCGTCATTAATGAAATATTGAAACGTCGTAATTTTGATACAGATAGTTTGTCACATTTATTTATCTTTGTCACGCTTTTCAGCTTCGGTGGGCGGTACTAAGAAGCGGTTTGCACTGGTTCAAAGTAAACAATTAATTATATTACTATTGCATCGCTTAGGTGATTCATTGCATACTTGCTTTATACTTAGCGCAATACTTCGCTTCAAAAATAACGCTATATCTTACGGGTCTAATTGACATACTAATTAAATATTAATCATTACGGTTTTCTTATTTGTAAATAGATGTTAGTTACATTTTTCTAAACATTTAAACACTGTTTTCTTTGAAGTGCTTATTAACGTTACGATTACTAAATTGATGGGCTATATTATTATTACATAGTTATCTGATGTTTTGGCAAACCTTCCAAAAGAAATTCTACAATTTTTAAATAAATTGAAAGGAATGAAATAAGCTGCATTAAAATAGCTTAATTTCGTGTTATGTAGGCTTTCACAAATGGGGATAAATATTTTATACCATAAAATAAACGGTTACAGTATTATAGTAGTCTGCCGTGTAACGTTGGCCGTTCTAACCTGCTACCTCCTTTTGGGACACATATATTAGAGATGGACCCTAAATGTAATTCCACATGGCGACAATGTGGCGCTAATTTGGCGCCTACTAAAAAAATGGCGGTGATTCACTTGTCGGTTTAGTAAAGAATTTTTGCATAGATACTAATATAAGAAATAATATTCATTATTAAATTTTATTTTCTTTATTTTTAAGAGTTAGTTTGGATGTTTGCCATTAGATTTTCGAAATTTCCTATAAATTTTTTTATCCCATAACATATTCAGGCCAAAATACCGGAAAACTAATTTTGACTTTAGAAAATATGTTCTATATTAATGATAATATTTTTAATATAGAACTCATTATTGTTTGTTTTAACGAAAAAAAAAACTGTTTTTCTTCTAAAAATTAATACATAGTGTAATTATTAATCTAAATTATTAACAAAATTATTTTTTGATAACAAAATTAATTGAATGAGAACAGCGTTACCTGATATGAGAATTTTCTCTGGCTGAGGTATACGAAAATTTTGGCAAGATTATTTTTATTTCCTCTTGGTAATTGAAATTAAACATATAATATCCAAATATACGTATTTTTTTAGTTGTCAATAAATATAGTATTGTATTTCAAATAAGAACTCCTATTTGAATTTCAATACATATTCAGGTAAAATTCTCACTAAATGTAAGAGAATTAAGCACAATATTCTATAATTTAGATTATATTGATTTTGTTCACCTGCCTATTTATAATAAGTGATTGCCGTCTATATACGAGTACACGAACACGATCATGGATCTCGAGTCATTATGAGTTGTGTATTCACCTGACAAGTTAGAATTTGCCGCCCGAGGTATAGTCTCCAGGAACCCCTCCCCATATCCGTGGCTGGATATATGTATATAATGTATTAACTATTATATATTATTATTTTACCCAGTTCCAGGGTATATTACCACAAGTTCACGCAAGAGGGACCGCCTCGGCAATCGAAGGCGTTCAAAGTTCTACAGGTCATTACGGGCACTGAGGACACAGACAGTATACAAAATATGGAAAAAAGTCATGGTTACACCGATCTATAGTATTAAATTTTAAGCTAAATTGTATTTAAATTATTCTAATTGCACTTATATCTACATCTACACTACGTAATTATTTATTATATTATATATAAGTATATATCTATCTATACCTATATTATTATGTATATTATATATTAAGTATATACTGTAGCTAATTTTAGAGTAAGTAATTTATTATTGTAATTATATGTATTTATTTTATAATATATAGGTGTATATTGTATATTAAATTTAGCTTTTTAATTACTTTAATAACATAACAATATTTTTAATGTTTAATCTAATACTAATATAACAGTCACGTCTGTATCTCATTATATTATAATTATATTCAATATGTTTATATATTTTATTATTAACTTAGTTTTATAATAATATATATATATATATAATTTATGATAATATAAATAGGTACGTAGATGTTACTATAAGTGCACATTTAACTTATAGGACAGACATTTGAAAATGGTGCGTATATTTAATTCGATGTTAATTACGATTAAATTAATTAGAATTATATATTTTTATGAAATGTAACTATGTTAACATATTATATATGATGTACTTATTATTAATACTGAATAACGAATTGTATATAAAAAGAAATATATTTAGTAAAAGATTATTCATGCTTTTATTAAGTACATGATTATACTAATGCTCACTGAAAACGGCTAGCTTACCAAAGAATATTAGGTTAATTATTTAATTAATTTATTATTTATATTAAATAGATAATTTAATTCTTACTTATAATAATTAAAAAATGTAATATTATATGATTATAATTACACAATAAGTCAGGCGTAAATAACAAAAAGAATTACTCACGTAAAGTTTAGGTTACTTTCCCATCAGAAGGGTTAATATTATAGGGTTAAATATGATAAATTTTTAAATGGAAAGAGGTTACCAATAAATTTATGTGAATGTATAATGTAGTCTAAGCGCCTGTAGATACGTTTTTATCTCTACTAACAACGTCATTTGAAAACGACGTACATATTTGTTGCCTTATATTTATTGTATTATCTAATATCTATGCCATAACAATATCGTAAGCTTTTATTACATACATTTACATATTATCTTTGCACATGTCACAGTGTAATGGGAGGGGGATGACAAGGGAAAATCAAGCCATAGTAGCCGTTCATGTTACTGAACAATTCTCTCGAATAATTTAGGTGTAAAATATTAATAATATATTGAACTTTTTACTAACTGTGCAGTCCTATGCAATAGAGATCAATTAGGAAACTGCGTGCTTTTCTTAGATAAGTTCAGATCAGATTTATGAAAACCTATTCCACCTGATTAATAAAACCTAAACCTTTTTATAAGTCTCATTTTCTGTTATAGTGTATTCACTTTCTATTAAACAAAAATTAAGCAAGAAAGTACGAAATAATGCCTAAAATAAAGCAATTGAACTTTAATTGCATTGGGTAGTATTCTTGCAATCGCTGAGATTTATATAGATAGATATTACACATTGTTTATTTCCCTAATTATATAATTCTTATTAACAACCAACTGATATATTAATACTATATGTATTTATATATATATGTATATGACATATTTTATATATTTAAGTATATTGTTTGAAATAGATTAGCATAACCCGTAATTGAAAACTAACCGATTAACAATTCCTGATTCTTTTCTTATACCACGAAGGTACATATTTGAAATATTCCCAAAATGTGTTGTTTTTTGTTTATTAACAAATTTATTGATGTTGTTGTATTCTTACAGTGATAATTTTAAAGATTAATTATTTTTAATCCTATAGCAATATAATCTAAGATCACAGTAAAATAAGTAATACAATAATTTACATGTTATTATTAAAAGTTTTCATACGAATTTGATAATTATAAAAAGTTAATTCCCTACTGTTTGACATTTCTTATTAAGTAGTGTCAATAAGTAGTGTTAATAAGTGTCATTATGTTTAATTTTAATCTTCATATTACTATATACTCCACACTTAGTGTAGATTTACGTCAGCTATTTCATTAGATATGTGTTTAGATTTTGTCCATTATATATTACGATATATAGATGATGATATACGATACAATACACTGCTTTCTGATTAATTTTATTAATATACTCTGGTCTATAGGTATATGGTATATACATGTAACTGCTAATAATTTACTATTGAAATATATTATATGTATAAAATTATTACTGTAAGATATAACCGTCGAGAAAACAGACAAGGGGTGTGGCAATCTAGTCAGTGTGATCATTTTATAAGTATATAAGTATTTTCTTATTTTACATTATTTTATATCGTAGTACAATTATATTTTTGTTTATTCATAAATATAAAAATAAATATTTAGTTTTAAGTATATTAATTTTGTAATAAAATCCAGTTCAAAATTCATTGGGTTTTCATTTAGAAATACGTTTATTCAATATATAATACTGTAATGGTACTCCCATCTGTGTTAATAGTATACACTGGCGGGGCACCAGTGAACGATGATGAGATGAATATAAGGTCAGTTAGCCGATCTTGACAAATTCACCAGGAAGAAATAATATGGGATGTTTAGCTCACGTTAGTAACAATTCCCGCCCCTACTCTTTGCCAACGTGACAAGTATCAAATGTGCCTATTTGATATTGGGTGTGTGTGAATGTTTGCTCAAATAACAGAGTGCTATCAGGCGGGCCCTATGTATATTTCAACATTCGTGGGACTACGCGGTAATTTTGTATATGTCCAATGCTGGGAATGGTATTTCTCCAATAAGAATATTGCGAACTATTACGAGGATAATCAAGTAATGTATATAAAGCATATGAGCTATGCATGAGGGCATTTGGCAGACGATATATATAAATCCAATTAAGCTGAGCAGAATACAGGTTATGGGTACTAAATAGATGACATAGTCAACTATATTTTTTTTAAATCTATATTTAATATATGGACATAAAAATCATCCAAACTGATACAAACACTCATACATCTGAATCAAAATGTTAGCAATCGAACTCGCGACTATCGAAAATAAAGCGGTATATATATATATATGAAACACATCATAAAGTGACGATTATGGTACACCCATGCATTGCCATATTAGAGCACTAAGTTCTCATACCTCATTGCCGTATGATTTCCTATTCGTATCTCTTACTCTTCAACCAGAACACATCTTAAAAGAAATATGTTTTTCGGTTAAAATTATTAGTAAATGTGACCTAATAACACAGGTACCCACCAAAGTCTATCTCGATTAGTAAAACCGTAGAAATTAAGATTTTAGCGATATCTATCTCTATCTAAGTCTGTGAGTATGACATTATTTACTCCGTCACCACACGTAGAACAATTATCAGTAATCCTAAACACCAACAAAGCTAATTTATTAACCAACGTAGACGAAGTGTCAGGTGCAAATTAATTATTTGACGATGTAACACTTCCCTTTACCTATCACTTTAATTTATTATAACTGATCCTGAGTAATTAATATTGAAATATTAGGGGAAGGAAGGGAATACGGATTAAGTCATAGTTTCGAAATTTCAGCTAAATATATATGTATACCTGTATAAGTATATTAATAGAGTTGTTTGTGAATTATGTATTCAACGTTGAAATATTGAATCCTGTTTTACTGTTTTCTGCAAAATAGAATGTACAGGTAAATTACATGATACAATTTTGAAGTAGTTTTACTTGCGAATACAGATTAGGGTAATATACCAAAATAAACGCTTAAAACTCTACAAAATATTAATAAGAAAAGGTACAGTTCAATTAAGATTCCTCTGAAGACGGTAAAGTAGCCATTGCACTCGAATGACATATATGTATATTCCTAGGTGGGTAGTCCGTCTATTATTTCAGGGGTAGGTGTATAAATAAATATCACAGTAGTTCAAGCATTGTAGTAATAATTTGTTGGAACTCGCGAATACAAAATATATATTCGTCATTTGTAAAACTGAACGTCACAGAATAGTTCTAGAAATAAAATGTTTACGTAAAGCTTCGGTCATTGGATATAAACATCGACTATTTCATTTATTGTTTCGTCTTCGCTTTTTATTAATTTAATTTAATCCTAGCAGTATTATTAATTACTAGATGTGTCTGCGGTTGCACCCGTATCTAATTTGTTGTCCATGACTGAGAATGACATTCTAATGTATAAGCTATATTATTGTTAGATTTCATTAAAATCCGTTCAGTAGTTTTTGCGTGAAAGAGTAACAAAATCCCGCCATCCATACTCACAAACTTTCTCGTTTATAATATTAGCAAGATTTAAACTTGTATAAGATTTTAACTTGTATAAAATTGTCGGCCTGTAACGTCTGTCTCTGTGTGTTTCGGTTGAATGGTCATATGGCATTAAAATTAAGGTAGAGGCACGATATCTTAATCTGGAACGACAACCAAGAGGGTCATATACCCCTCTTGGTTGTCGTGGGGTATATGATAGCCTTGGTGGTCTAGCGGTTTATAACACCACTTTACTTCCGATGATCGCGGGTTCGATTCCTCGAAAAGTGCAAACACTTGTATTCATAAGAATGATTGTGTGTATCAGTCTGGTTGTGTTCTATGAATATATTGTATGTATTTAAAAAAAATCTAAGTATTTATATCAGTTATTTAGATCCATAATACAAACTCTGCCTACCGTGAAACTAGATGGCGCTGTGTTAATTGCCTAGGGTTATTTATTTAAATAACTCTATAAATATATATATTATATATGTATACGTATAATATACTTTTCTTGTAAATCCATCAGGTCAAACTATACCAAGTGTCCATCAAAATCCGTTATAAAATGGTAACGAGAGACACCGTCATTACCGTGAGTTGATCGTTGTTCGTTAATTAACAATTTCATGATCGAACGGCCTCAGAACCCCGAGACCCGATAGACCATTACCTGCGTTGATGGCAAATATACCCACATAAAATGGATATAGTATTGAAATTGGTTGTAGTTTATATTGGCATTAATTACTGTGTATGGAGGCGTAACACCTCAGTCCTATGGAATGGCAAAGCTTGGTGTACTAAGAGGATTACATGATGACGTCATGTCCGTAGTTCATATATTTAGGTGACTCTTGCCACTTATCATCAGGTAAGTACTCCAGGCATATAGGCTAGTTTGGTTTTCTAGGCACATAAAAAAAACTATAGGTACGCACTTTTCTAAGCATTGTTATTAAGCATCTTTTGTCAATCTTACTGTTTTAGTACGTGTATTATTTTATTTAAAAAAGCAACATGCAAATTTCTTTCTCGTTCTTCTTTTAATGAGACTGTTTTACGAATGAGCGGTAGTATAAAATAATCTGAATTCAAAAGTATATGTAGTTTATTTGAATAGAGGTTATTTCTATTTTAATCTATTTCTTTGACAAGATAGTCTTACTTTTTATTTTCAAGAGTTGGACAGATTTTTTTGTGTTATTCCTTTATTATATGGATGGTGATAGTAAAATTCCGCCTGCATTATTAGAGTATACTTGGGTAAGAGTGTGGTGAAGCAGATCATGGCGATATAATCAGGATTAATTACAATGGTGTCCAGACAATTCCTGATAACGTACATCGATAGAAATTATGTCATTGGAGATTAACAATTCTTTCCTTTTCTTTAATATATACGTATATACGTAGACGTAAAATAGATGTAAAATTGTAAATTAAGCATAATATTTTGTTTTTTTATGTCAAGGGGACGGCCTGATTTAAGTGGTAATAGTCGCCTATATATAGTATATGAACAACATCACCGATAACACATATATGTCTGATCACAGACAAAGCTACTTCTTTTGTTCTGCGTGTATGATGCTAGAAGAGTCACTCAGGTGTGCCATTTCGGAAAACTACGACGTTATATCTCTTATCCTGTAATTTTACTACCTCATCTCACCTTTTACATTTACAAAGTTAGTGGTGAAATAGATAAGACAGAGGTAAGTATATATATATATATATTTATAAAATACACATTGTGAAACAGTCTATATCTATTTTTAATTTATTGATAAATCACATCTAAAGTTTCATTTGGGACTATACACCACTCACATGACTTTGTACAAAGTCCACTCCGAACGATCCCCCTTCTAATTCAAACGGAGATCGAAATTATCGATGGCTGATGTTTTCGGGCCTTAGTAGAGCCCTCAGACTAAAGTCGTATCCGTCAGGCGGGAGTTGGCCTTCCTTGGTGCTGATCCATAAGTCCTTCTGTGGGTTTGGATTGCCATCTGCATTCGCCCCCTATAGTCCGGTTTAGAGTACAACAGCATTA